GAAGAAGATGAACCGGAAATGGCTGTCTTCTTCCCTTTGTTGAACTTGAAGTCCATGCTGCTCTTAGCCATGTGGAACTGTGAATAGGAAGAAGCACCTGAACTCATAATCAGAAGCTGAGGGCTTTTGTGATGATTAATGGTATCCAGCAGCATCGTCCCATTACCATTGGCACTTGATCTTTTGTAATCTGCCTTTGGGTTTTGGTTTTTGAGGTTCATTCTTGTAATTTCTTTTGTAATCTCCCATTACCACGATTGGAGGCCTCGTTCGAAACCACGACGGAGACTGACTCTTTGGCTTCAACAAATCTCTTGGAATCTCCATTGCCTTAGATATCCAACTCTGGGGAATCTATGAATACCTCAATCTTGCCTGGTTCTACGGTTTTGAATGTATTCAATGCTAAACCGACTATGTTGAAGCCTTCAACTTCATCACTTCCCCGACAGCATCATCTAGTCCTCTCTCGCTCGTTCCCGTAACTATACGAAACCTTGGATGCTAGACTTAGTTCTCATCAGGGACCACCACTGTGCTCCATATTTAAAAGAACGAAGATCTCTATGTAAAGGCCTTGCCTCCTCTTCTTAAAAAAAGTCATTAATCGTTTGAGTAGAATTCAATAACCTTTAATGTACTTTATACTTGAATCTATTAAAACATTACAGTGATATTTTTATAACAATTCTATAAATTTAATGTTAGTTTATAAATTCACCCTAACTTTTCCCCAATTTTCCTCTTTGTGATGTAACTTTGGGTGACATGGGGAATGGATTGTAGATGGCATGTTTAGTGGGTGAATGGTATCTTGCGAATTGTTTATGTTCTCAATGATACCATGCATTTGCATTTTGACCAATCTTGCTTCGTTGTAAACCAAGTAATGATTTTGGATAAATTTTGATTTAATATTTTGAGTAACATTAACTGTATTTTATAATAATTTTGTAACTTTTAGGACGACATAAAATTTTCTTATACGATGATAACAACAAACAATCAATTGCAAATAAAAAAATTAAGAAAAATTGAATACACATATTTATATTAAAAATAAATTAAAAAATCATAAGTGAAGAAATAAAAATTACTATAATTAATAATAAATTATAACAAAATTGAGAAAAACACACAAAATGAACGCCAAAACACTCCCTAAACCTAGAAACAGTAGTACTTACATTTTTTTATTAATTTTGGGTAAGTACAAGGTAATATATGTTTAAATATAACTCTCAACTATTTAACATTGATCGCTCATATCTTTAGCATTTCTGGTACTCGAACTCGGAACTATAAAGAATAACAATTATTTCTTTACCACCAAAGTCACTGGAGTTCGTGCTGGTACTTACATATAAGTGTACAGAAACTAAACCCTAGATAAAATTAATCATCATGTATCCCTTATTTTCTTTTAATTTTATTTTTTCATCAAACGAGTCACAATGTGAGTTTTCTGAAACCAAATCTTAAAAAAATTAAGAATATTATTACTTTTCAATTTTCATAAATTTAAAAGGATGAAACTATAAGTAGACCTTAATTAACTGGGCTGCTTCCTTTTCTATTGATCAATCCAATCGAATCGAATTCTAACGACCAAAGCTTGTTTGACCACCTATGGATTGCTATTGTTAGGGGAGTATTAAAGTTGGGAGAAAAATGAAGTTATTTAGAGAAGAATACATGATTTTATATTAGATGAGTATATTTATAAAATTTATAGGAAATACAAATTTTCAAAATTTTAAGAATAAGAACTCAATAAAAAAATATAAAAAATTTTAAAATATATAAGAATGTAAAATTTTAACGGACGAAACCCGCTCCACCATCTCATTTCATTCCTAAAGGTACCATATTTTTTGATATGCTTGAATATACAAATGGTCATGAGACTGCAAGGTCAGCCAGTCAGGGGACCGGTAGGCAGGCAGTGGACCACAAAAAGTTACCTACTTTATCGGGCTTAGGGTCTTTTGGTAATCTTCTCTTCCCCTTGCAACGTAGAGGCAAAGCATTAGAAAGACCGGGTCGAAATTTTTTACAATTTTAACTTATAAATTAAAATTATTATAATATTGAATGATGTTTCGTTTTTTCTGAACTTGTCTTAAATTTTAGAATAAAAAATTATTCGTGATTTAATACAAATAATTCTTTTATTCAACAAGACACAGATAGTTGGAAATATATACGTGAGACCCTGAGAATATTATAGTAATTATTTGAGTTAATTGTATCACATGTCCAAAAATTAAAAATCTCATTCTAAGTTGGTCATTAAATTTTTTGAATATTTTAATCTAATCCTTAAACTATAATTTTTATTTTAAATTAGTCCTTAAACTTTTGAACATTCTAATTTCATCCCTAAACTATGTTCCTCTTTCTAAATTAGTCCCCAAAATTTTGAGTATTCCATTTTTATCCCTAAATTCATCCAAATATGTAATTAGTTTCAACCATATTCCAATTTTATCCCTTAATTCATTCAAAAAATTTGAGGACTAATTTAGAAGGATAGTCATAGTTTAGGGATAAAATCAAAATATTTAAAAATTTAGAGACCAATTTAAAATAAATGTCATACTTTGAGAATATATGATGCAATTAACTCTAATTATCTCTAAACATATATAGAGATATTCTTGTAATTGTTTAAATCGGGTCAAAGAAATCATCATTATCTCAATTTTGTCTATAATTGATTCTTCCCTTCCCAAAACGTGTCCCACCTACTCCGGATATGAATCCAAAAAATTGATCTTATAAAATAAGATTAACTAATAAGATTTTATCTAACTATAATTAAAATTGGCTTCCTCCCAAAATAGGGTTATAGGAAAAATAATTTTCTCATACAAGGCATAAATTATATTATTTTTTGAACTAGGGCTTTTTATTGATCTGATGCGAAATGCACTCCTAGGGTCTTTTCTATTTGTCTGAAGACGTCATGCAGTCGTGGGGCCTTCTTCGTTTGCCTGAAGACACAATGTAGTCGTGGAGTCTTCATATTTAGCTTAAAGACGAGTGGAGCACCTGATGTATTTACGTTGGTACTGTTTAATTCACCCTAGATAGGAAAATAATCCCTGAGGTGGATTATATTGGGAATTTTAAAAAAATCACTTACATTAACTTAGTCATTTTGGCATTAAAATAACATCCAAATATCAAATGTCGAACAAGTGTCACGAACCATGAATCAAGATCCGAGACTCGTACAAACTTAGGCGTGTGAGGAGTTTCATGCAACGTATCGAAGGGGAAAAAAAAACAATTACAAATTGTGTTTGTTACCCTCCAAAAAGATTCAATTTATCAAGTAAATAGAAATCAGTCAGATTAAGGTTCAAGAATAAAAGATAGATTGTGTTGTATAAGGACTTCGTCTTATGGACATATTTTTTAATCTTACTCGATGTAGTAAATGCAATTAATGTCTAATTGGACATTATCGATGGTAAGAGATCTCGATATAAATAGAGGTTCTTCTCACCTTAATCAATTTACGAGTGAATAATATAAATCCGAATATTAACATAAATCTCTCTCTTGTCATTCTTTTATTACAAGTCTTTTCTTGTTCTAGTTCCAGTTTAAGAATGCTTATGATAATAGAAAAGTGATTTTTCACCTCGTTAGAAATATTAAACACTAAAAATTAATTTAAAATTATAGTTGGAAAAATGATTTCAACTTAATCTCAAAAGCTTAAATTTTTTACTTTTGTTGTGAAAAATCACTTTTTGGTGATATTATATTTTTATCCTTAAATATTATATTATCAATGTACATTATAAATGCACATTTTTATCTTTTTAAAATTACTTCTTAACGGTTATCACAAACAATTAAATTTTAAACTGAATTTTTTAAGAACACTTTTTTTACACCACTTTTCGAAAGTCATACCAAATTAGCCCGACCTACTAAGTCTTAGGACAAAGTACACAAATGATTCTCGATTATAAAATGATGCATTGTTAAGTTTTCAACTATTAAAAGTTACAAAATGATCTTCTAATTATAGGAGGTTGATTTGTTAAGTCCCAACTTTTAAAAGTTACAAAATGATCCCTCAAATATAGGGCATTGCTTTGTTGAGTCACTTGACTATTAAAAGTTATAAAATGATCATTCGACTATTTATATGCTATAAACTCATCATTTTTTCATTACGAAAAATGACATTTGTCTGAGATAGACGTTAACTTGTTAACTGAGATATAATAGTCGTTTGAAATTTTGATATCATATTTTATCATATCATAATCAACGAGTTAACATCTAGCTCAAACTATCATCAATTTTATAATAAAGAATGACGAGTTTGAAACATATGAATAGTCGGGTGACTATTTTATAACTTTTAATAGTTAAATGACCCAACAAAGTAATGATTTATAATTAAAAGATCACTTTATAATTTTTAATAATAAAAAAACTCAACAAAAACAACACTTTATAATCCAGATCAATTTGTATACTTTACCCCTAATTTTTTCGGCTTGTTTATCCCTATTGAAAGTTGAGTTAGACATCTAACTACTACTTCAGTACCTAAGGCTGCAAGATGGCTCGATCGGATCAAAGATTTTTTTATCCTAACCCATAAACTCACTTCAAATCTGAATTTTTAAAAAATATTAACTTTATAAAATTAGATTGTATCTAATCCAGATATTTCTACCATCCCGAACTATTCCACAACACTAAAAAATACTAACAAAATTTGTTCAAATAATTAACATAACATTCAAACATCAAATGTGGATCAAATTTGTGGTATGCTAACGATAATGAACAAATTTAACACAGTTACACTTCCTCTCCGGCTCTCTGCTAGAAGCGAAAAGCTACAAGATAATGCTAGAAATGGAAACTACAATGGCAATGCCAAAAACAATCTAAAACCGCCACGGATATGATGGACGAAAATACTCTAAAAACGCCATTGAAATGAAATGGAAAATGCCATGTTTTTTGAACAGAAAGTTCAAACAGAATGTAATTAAACAACACTAGTAATAGATCTACGCTTAACTTACTTCACCTATTACCTCTATTCACCGTCTCCTTGTACCTGATAATGGAGTCCATCCTTTGCAACTTCAGCTGTTGCTTGAACTTGTTGATGAAATCATCTGCTTTCGCATCCACCTCCTCGTCCTCCTCCGTAGCCTTACCTTTCCCTTCTCTCACGGTCGCCGGCCGTCGAGTTTCCACGACGTCTTCTTCCTCGAAATGCGAGAACGGAGACTGGAGACTCGCTGATTTCCTCATCTTCTTCGAAAGCTTGGTCGGTACTACGCCGGACGCTGGTTCGACGTCAGATTTGGTCCTCGCGACTTCGGTTTTGAAAATGGGTATTTCTTCAAATCCTAGCTCTTCACCTTGGGTTCCTTTTCCTTCCACTTCTTTAAGTTCTTGTGTTTCTTCGATGGCTTCCTCCGGCTGCGAAGGCGGCTGCCTTGGGGTGGTTTGTTGTTGGAAAGAGAAATGGAAACCGCTGCTCGCATCTTCAACTGCTTCGGGTTCTTTCATTTCTTCATCAGTAGTGCAATGTGAGTTGATTTCATGGGTTTTCTGCTCCGGAGAGAAGTATCCATAGAGATTGATCGACTTAAGCCTTTGAAAAACAGAAGGAGATCCATCGACGCAAGGCACCGACATCTGCGGCGGCGGAGAAGACGGCTGCTGCCATTCCTGGGTGGTTTGTTGTTGAAAAGAGAAATGGAAATCGGCACCGACATCTGGGATTTTTGAACTGTAACTCGCGGGCTCCTCGGATCTATGAGAATACAAGTTGATGGATTTTAGCCTTTGGAAAACAGATGGGGATCTAACGAGTCTTGGGTCGTTCCTCTCATCTCCTTCGCCAACACCGGCAGCGGCGGCGGAAGGCTTGTTGGAAGCTAAGGAGGAAGTGAAGAAGATGGTACCGATGGTGAGGTTAACGAAGACGAAGAAAACAGTGGGAGTAAACCAGCTGAAAATGGAAGCCCAGAGAGATGAAGAAGGTACAGTTGACGACATTGATTCTTCCAACATTTCTTGCTAAGATTTTCTTTTTAAAATTTTAAAACAAGAAAAATGGAAATTAGAGATGAACCGCAGAAGAGGTGAGGGTTAGGTTGCGGACAATATTTCTCTTTTAACCCAGATTAAACTAGTTTTTTTTTTAATTCTAGAAAATACCCTTACACCATATCATTACAATTGGGTCATTGTATTTCAAAAGGTCACAATTGAGTCACTCAATCGATTGTAATTTAAGTCATTTTGTCGTTAAATCTCGATGGAACATAAAAAAATTATGGTCAACGGGTAAATTACACCATATATCAGCCAATTATTAATAAGATTATAAACAGGTCCAAACAATTCAGTCAATTAATCGATTGTTACAAACATATTACTCAGTTGTTAAATATTAAAAAAATTACATGGTTTATTTCACTTATTAAAGATATTAGATTTTATAGAGTTACAATTAAGTCACTCAATTAATTTATTGCAACGTCAACTCACCCAATTAATTGATTATAATAACCATAGCATATACTACCATGTTGGTTGTCGTCAACTATCATATACAATGGTTGATGAACCTTAAATTTTATCATAAGGACTACCTTGATCTCCTTACAAAATTCATAATATTATATTCTCAATAATTTAATTCAAAAGTCATAAAATCACCTTAAGATTTTTAAACTTTTAAAAACATGATCTAAATTATTCACCGTTAAATGGCCTCCATCTCGATATATATTCTTCATCTCACCAACGTCAACATCCAACATTCAAATTATTGAATAGATCCCTAATCTTTGAAAATACCAAAACCCAAAATAGATTTTCTTTTTTGATTAATTAAGTGAATCATTTGTGAATTCATAAAATTGGGTGACGTAATTGTAATCCTATTAATAATTGGGTATATCTCTTGTAATCTTACAAATATTTGGATGGTCTATGGTGTAATTTACCCAATAAGAAAATCGAAAATGTTTCCTAACAACACATTCTAACCTTTGTTTAATTGAGTGAGCCATTTCTTTTATTTTATTTTTTAACTGGGTAACTCATTGATAATGTTACCAACAATTGAATGACATATGGTGTAATTTAACCATGTAAACATTTTAGTCACTCAATTGTAAGGAAGTTTACACTTTACTCACTCGACTCTCAGTTGTGAATAAACCTTCTTGTTTCTTTTCTAATTTTGAACATATTGGTGCAAGATCAATTTCCAATTAGTTTATGTTTTCTCGGACAAGTTCTTTGATACTTTTATACTTCATAAAAGAAAAACGAAAATAATATTTTCTGCTTGAATTGTTGTATTACCATATGTAGGGCTGAAAATGACACGAGACAGATCGCGAGCTACTCGAGATCGACTCGGTCAAGGCTCGATAAATACTCGGATCGAATAGATTCGACTCGAACTCGATCTCGACTTGAATTCTTAACAAGCCGAAACGAGCTACTTGATACTCGACTCGAAAAGCTCGTGAGTAGCTCGAAAATATAATATATTAAGATTTTTTTAAAAAAAAATAAATTATTAATAATATTAATATTTATGTGTTGATTTTTTTTTAAAAATACAATAAGGTTTTCATGTATTTAAGGTTCAGGTTCGAGTTTGAGTTTGAAGATTCAATCTTATTAAGTTTAAGATTTTTTTTCATTTCGAACTGCTCACGAGCTTCAGTTCAGGATTTCGAGTTCAAGTCGATCTTAAAAATTTTAAGCTCGCGAGTTTTCGAGTCAAACTCCATTTCAGAGTTTTCGAGTCGAGTCGAGCTCAGCAATACTCGAACTCGACTCGGCTCGTTTACACCCCTAACCATATGTCATCATTACTTACTTACCTTTTATTGCTAGTGGTCAATTACAAGTTCATTACATGTCCAATTAACTAAAAAATGAGATTACGATAAGCTTCTTTTATTAGTGTACAACAAAGCATGAGAATTCACGGTTCGCTGTAAGGTCACTAGCAATAGCATTTAATGGAAACGGAATGGACCGCTTCATCTTTTTGAGGTACATGTAACGTTTGAAAGACACTTTGCAACTTCAAAATCAATAGGCGTGTGGTAATACGATAATTCAAACAAAAAATATCCTCGGTTTTCTTCATAGATTCATGAAGTATAAAAGAATCGAAGAATTATCGTACACGAAGAACATCAAGAAAATAAGGAATTGAATTGATCTTCTACCGATCTAAAAGAAAATAGAAAGAGAACCTTCGAAAGTTGAGCAACTAAAATATAAATTTACTTATAATTGAGTGACCAAAGAATAAATAAAAAGTTAATATTTGTTTGAGATTAAGCAACAAAATGATCTAGTTATTATAATTGAGTAATTAAAATATTACAATTTGAAAATTACTACTCAATTATAAACTTATCATCTATCTGTCGCGATCGTCTTTCGGTTGTATTACAACTCCGAATTGAGCTTCGACTTTGATTAAATGAATTGGAGTCGCCACCGACCATTTAAAATGAATTTAGGTGGGTCGGACACCATCTTACATGATCTGCATTGTACCAGAAACGTGTCGGGTTCGGGAGTCGGTTACGATCAAGGAAGGATTAGCACCCTTGAACCGCCCTTTCGGTACCAATTAATTTTTCGGTTGTCTTTAATTGCGAAAATTGAAATTGAAATTAAAAATTCGATTAAAATTATTTACCTTCGATTGAAATTACTACCGAAGAAAAAATAAACAAAATGGTAGATGACAAAATAAAATATTGAATGCTAAACAAAAAGAAAAAAAATTGATAATAAATAATGTATTGTCATTTCTTAATTCATATTTATTATGACAAATGAACATGAGAAACACCAACATGTGAAATAAACATAACAAATATAGAACTCGTCCATTTCAAAACAGTCAGTGTTGGTATTTTATAAAGCAGAAAAAAACAACAATTGTAAAATTCCGCAAACAAACATGTTCCAAAACAACAAAAGCAATAAAAAAAAACATTTCGAACTGCAAATGGAAATTAAAGTCTGTGTATTCAGCTTAGCTACAAATCCTTAGCGCTTCTTCTCGCTTGATTTTGCACCACTGGTGTAACCCCGGACTTGGATTTAAATGTCTTGGGATCGTGTGAAGCAGCAGCACACTGGGTACTTTGTGTTTCATACTCTGGAATGTGGTCCCACGTTTTTCTCTCTGTCTTTTTCTCTTGATGCTTGAGTCTATTTATAGTCTAAATAAACCTATTTTTAGCTCAGATTTAGAGTCCTACTTGGACTCAAATGCTTCGGTTTTAGTGTTTTAATAGGACCCAAATACGTTGGTTTTAGTGTTTCAATAAGACTCAAATACATTGATTTATTTTCTGAATCTTACTAAATCAGGGTTGTTGAGTATGGGGCCTGCAAAAATAATAAAGAAATATTAATAATAATAATATTAAATAAATATAATATAATAAAATGTTTTTGTAGACCCAGACAAAAACGAGTGTCTACAACTGCCCCTCTTTGCACATTTTTTTGTTAACAAGAATAGGACAAAGATGAAAAAGACAACCAGTTTTTGTCCGGTTCTCTTTGATTTGAAACTTGATAGTGTTTGTTGTGACACTAAGTCGATCCATTGGGCACGATATCCTTCTTCTTGAAGTTGAAATCATGGGTGAATCGAAAAGTGACTCTTTGTTGCCAATCTTGGTCGACCTTGGTCTTCTTCTCGATTTAAAGACCCGAATGTAAAAATTTGACCGAAAAGTAGTTCCTTGCTAATGCAACGCGGTTGATACGCCCTGGAGCTGAATGAAATCGAACTCGAATGTATTTGTTGACATATAACCCTTATAGTCTTGAGTTATGCTGTAAATGGTGTGCATTGGAGCTGAGCGTAGTCGAACTCGAAGGTCTTTGTTAGCAGATAACCCTTCTCGACTTGAGCTATGTTGCAAATGAACACGATATCATTCGCCGTGAAGTTGAAATCGTGGATGGACCCTTCGTCGTGAAGTTGAGTCTGGAATTGGATATCTTTCGTCGTAAAGTTGAAATCCAATCTAAAGGTGAATGTTGCTGATGAGCATGATTCCCTTCGTCGTGAATTTGAAATCATATATGGTCCCTTCGTCGTGAAGTTGAACCTTGGAGTTGGATATCATTCGTCGTGAAATTGAAATCCAATGTAAGTTGTGATGTTTCGAGGCCAATATCCTTCACTGTGAAGTTGAAATCCAATCTAGAGATGAATGCTGCTTGTGTGCACGATTCCCTTCATCGTGAAGTTGAAACCGCGAGTAGCCCCTTCGTCGTGAAGTTAAAACCGCGGGTGGCCCCTTCGTCGTGAAGTTGAGCATGTAATTGGATATCCTTCGTCGTAAAGTTGAAATCCAAGTAAGTTGTATTGCTCCGAGTCCAATATCCTCCACCGTGAAGTTGAAATTGGCTCTGGAACTGGGAAATTGTTTGTTGACAATCTGCCGCCCCTTCGTCGTGAAGTTGAGCTTGTGTTGTCTTGAGTCCAATATCCTTTGTTGTGAAGTTGAAATTGACTCTGAATGAAATTGAAAAGTTGTTTGTTGACAATCAGTCACCCCTTCGTCGTGAAGTTGAGCTTGTGTTGTCTTGGGTCCAATATCCTTCGTTGTGAAGTTGAAATTGGCTCTGAAATTGGGAAATCCCTTCATCGTGAAGTTGAGCCCCGAATGGCACGATATCCTCCGTCATGGAGTTGAAATCGTGGATGTGTGGGTACGATATCCTCCGTCGTGGAGTTGAAATCGATGATGGTCCCTTCGTCGTGAATTTGAGCCTTGACTTGAATATCCTTCGCCGTGAAGTTGAGATCCAAGTATTGTATGTTGCGGGTGGACACGATTCCCTTCGCCGTGAAGTTGAAACCGTGGATGACCTCTTTATTGTGAAGTTTAGCTTCAAGCTAGTTGAAATATACTCTCGAACAAATTGTGTTATTTCGAGTCCAATTTCTTTCGCTGCGAAGTTGAAATTGACTCTAAAAGCTGTAAAAATTATGTGTGCTAAAAATGATAAATATGATGCTCCTAAGTATATCTAAGATTCATGCAACATGAA